GACGGTTAGGTACGCAATAGCAACAGGCCGCCTAGAGCAAAAAAGAAGATAGGAACCCAGAACCACAGAGACAATAGTGGAAAAGAGACGCTTAATACTAACCCCACATAACAGCAGGCTCTGCTTCACTCGCCGACAAAAGGACTTTGAACACTTGAAGAAGAGACTTTAAGAACGCTTGCTACAAATTACAATCAGGGGATATGTAACAACTACGCCAGATAGCGGAACAGGAGGCATGTAAGGGCTACGAGGAGTTAAGCCATCACCAAGGAAGCGCTTAGGTAATAACACACTAGTGCCCTCTAGGCTAGAGCCGGGCGTAATAAAGACATCATCATCATCATCAACTCGGCCACCAATTCCATCGGCGGTAAGCTCGCCGATCAGATGATGCTCTGGAAGCTGGACTGTCCAGCAAGCTTGGAATGCGAGGGCCATATTTCGCACAAAGATGAGCTTGTTCTCGTGTGATAATCTAGGGTACACCGATGATGCCATAACACCTGGTATCAGCCGAGTTATTTGCCGGCCCATGCCTGTGGCCTCTTGTCGTTCCATCTCTCCTGGTATTGGGTAGACAGGAGGCACAGGTAAGCTGTGAGAGTCAGTCGTCCTCGAAATCAAGGTCATGAGCGCATCCATAGATGCTACACGGCCGTGGTGGCGAAGCTGAACAACGTATGTGACGTCTTGACTCTCTTGAACAGCGACCTTGTACGAAATACTCAGCGCGCCATCTGTGAATCTCGTCGAGGAGGCCAAATGTTGGCCTGTTGCTGCTAAAATTGCCTCGGCAAGCTCTGTTTCGGAGAGAACGATGGGTTCTGGAGGCGAGATCTCTTTTGAGCGCCTGTCAATTTTTACCAGGTATCGAAGAATGGGCGTAGCAGGCTCTTCAATGTCCTCCAACGCTGCCGACCAAGAGAAAGAAGTGGGCGTCGCTTTAATCAGCGCATAGCCTACACCTTTCCCTTTCGGAGAACCGATTGCGCCGGAGAATATGTAAGCTAAAAGTGCCGACACGGCTTCGTCTTGCGTCATGAGTCCTTCAGACATGATTAGAGAAGATCTACTATCCGATACGAGTAGGTATTAGCCTTCCTTTTCGGAAGCTTGGATGACATAATCTATTATATGCAAAAATCGGTTATCTCAGCTAGCTCAGACGGCATGCCAAGAAGACACTAGTACACAAATAGTATAGATACTTTCAGACCCCTGCTGGGGCTTCTTCCTTCTTGGCTGCTGTCTGAGGGACTTTGGTGCAGCGCAACGTGTGCAAAGCTTTGTCTATTAACTTACTAAAAACTTCTATACAAGATACTATTGCACACAGCTTATTACAGCACCTATAATTAAAATTAATTACTTAAAGAGTATATATAATCTACTTTAGACTATTTTTAAATAAATTTCTAATGTTCTAACTATAAAAATTATAGGCTTAGCATTGCACATGTCCTAACGCGCAACTATTTCTTTTAACCCTGTCCTCTACTAGTCTATCTACTTGCGTTTAACTATTAATAATAGCTAAGATTAACTAACCTACCTTAATTTAGCCTCTAGAACACGCTCTCTGTCTTAAATAAAGCATGCTAGGTTTAAAGGCTGCTGCATAGATTTAAAATAGTAACATGTAGTATAAGTAAAATAGTTTTAATCTATAATTAAGTTGTTTAGTAGATGCACAAGTGTTGCCTAGTCTAGTAAATTATAGTAAAAGGCGCGCCTATTATAATTAAGTATTACCTATTAAGTGTTACTAGGCACCTTATTAATAAGACCCTAGGTTCTTTGCTAGAACACTAGAGAGCGCTATACTAACAGAAATCTAAGCTGTATAAGAAGAGATTGTGTATATTCTCTTATTTAATAAAGATAATAATATCTTTATAACTATTTATATAGTTATAGTTTAATGTTAAAAACTATGCAGTGTTAGCTTATAAAAGCTTTTTATTTAAAATACTCTTTTCTTCTTACTTAGTAAAAGGGAACTACATACTAAGTAGGTCTGTATTGTCTAACACTTTATCTTTAGTTTAGGCAATATAATTCTAGTTACAAAGACTAGGTTTAGTAAAAGTATTACGCTGCATATATATTTAGTAATAATAAGGTATATAACACTCTAGATTATCTTATTATTAAAGCTTAAAAAAAAGTAAAAGAAAAAAATTATAAAATATTCTAAAGCTTATCTATGCTTTATTACTATAAAAATAAAGAATTTTAATCCTAAACTTTTTAGTAAGATTCTTAAGAGATGTTATACACATATTTTTTTTAGCCTTAAGTAAGTAATTTTTTTAGTGTTTTATTATCTTTTTTTTGTAGGCAGCTTTGCAGATTAAGTCTAACTAGTTATAATTAATAAGTGCTATGTTATTTAGTAGTAGTGTGAATTCTAAACAGCATATATCTAGTTTTATAAGCTTTATTAAATAATGTGTTCTGTAACTCTCTTTTTTGCATGTACAGCAACTTTAGATGCTGCAACTAAGGCCTAGCTTCTTAAAAGTAGATGTTTTTAAGCGCTAGCAACTAGTAATAATAACACTCTTATGCAGCTAAGAATTATACACACCTCTATTAATAGGCTAAAGATTACTATTAAGATTGTCTTAATCCTAACTAGCTGCTAGACGTTATATAACTAGCTTTAAAACTATATAAATGTAAGAATTAATGCAGAAACATTATAAATTATCTTCTTATATATCCTAAAAACAATTATATTTTTAGATAAAAAAAATAAAATTACTACTTTAGCCTAGCTTTTTTAAAGTTAACTTCTAAAAAAAAGCTGTCTACTTGCAGATATTTAATTAGTGTTAGCAGTATATATAAAGCATGTGTTAAAGTTTAACTAAGCTTAAATATATACTAATTTCTTAGAGAATAAGTCCCTAATCTAAGTTGCTATTACTATAACTGCGCTTAGAATAGGTATAAATCTGTCTAATGTCTAGTGTGTCTATTAGTAGTTAATTCTAATTATAGACAATATTAAAGACTTAATCTAGCAGTTTAGTTATAGAGTAAGAAGACCTAGACAACATGCAACTGCTATACTGTTTATTCTATATTATGCCTTTAACTACTTTAAAAGAGGGCTAGTAGACTACTTTAAATTAAAGTAGTTACAAAGTTAGTAGGCTAGTAAAAAGAAAAAAAGTTAACATAAGATAAGTTAGTGTTTATTATCTATGCTTTATACTATGTCTACTATGTTAAACTTGTCTAAGGGCAATTGCTCTAACTATACTAGCACACTAGTAGAGACAGCAATAAACTAGGTAAGGCAGAGAATATTAGCTAGTTAAGATGTGTAGAAGCAGGTCTAGTTAGCTTATTATAAACTACTAGGCATATTAACAGTGCTAGAATAGTTAAAAGCAGAGCTCTAGTTATATAAAAGTATCTACCCTAAGTAGTTAAATCTAATTATGTTAAAGTGCTACTAGAAGTTTATTCTTTAGTATTTTTAAAATAAGCTTATAATTCTATTAACTTAGAGTCTACCTTTACTACTAAAAAGGTGCTATACTAGCTGCAATCTATTCCTAGTTAAAAATACCTAAGAGCTAAGTCTAGTTGCGCAGCTAACTACGCCTTTACTAAAAGCTAAGGCTAAAGTTGCTCTTAAGCAAATCTAGGTTAAATATAGTAAAGTAGCACTTTTTATTTACATTAATAATAAGAACACATTATAGGGGCCTAGTTCTTTTATATTTATAGTTAATAAAGTCTTTATTTTACTGCCTAGATTTATTTTTATACTAGTTAAGTTTTAATAAAAACTAGCCTATAAAGTTAAAAGAGCTTAAAATGCTGTAAAGTTTAGTATAGTATTTACTTAAAAACACTTTCTTAATACTAGTGTCTTACTGCAGTAGTAATATCTTAATATATATAGGCTAGGCTTCTACGCCTTTTTTTACAGTATTATAGATAGTGTTTATGCGCTTTATTAGTAACAGTTCTCTAAGTAACATATAAAAAAAAAAGGTAATAAAGACTTATTATTAAATTTAACTACTTTTTAGTAGGGCAGCACTCTCTCTACTCTTCTAAGACTTGCTTTAAGAGATAAAGACAACTAAGTTGTGTTATAGGCTACACACACTTTCTAATTATGTGCAGCCTATTGTGAGCGCATTTATAGGCAAGCAGTAGTTACTGCTGTCTCTGTAGGCGTCTTGTCTACAGAGAAGGCGCCTGTCTCTATCAGCCTTACAGGTCTATGTCTGCTGTCTATATTAAAGTTGTCTGCTATGTTATGTTTTATAACTATAGATATGTTGTTTTTGTTAGCACATATACTATTAGATCCTTTATCTTTACTTAATATTACTATGTAGTATAATAACAGCAGCTAACCTAGTCTAGCACTTATAACTAAAAGCGCCTTTTCTCTATCTTTATTTATTAGAACTTTATTATGTAAATAAGTGTTATTTAATATTACTTTCTTAGCTATAAATATATAGTTGTATAGGGTCTAATTTAATAGTATATTACAGAAGCAGCGTAGGTCTTAGCTTGCTAAGAGTAGAGTTAGAGAAGAACTAGTACAGCTATATTAAACAGGGGATTGTAGTAATAGTAGAGCATAAAAAAGTATATTACTAACCCTAAAGGCATAGTGTTTAGGGCTATTTTAGTAGTTATTTTAAAGGGGAGGGCAATAAAAGTTATTGTGCAGGTTATAGAGCTTATCTAGGCGCACTAGAAGCAGGTTAGCTAGCGCTAGAAGTAATAGATAGTGTAGGTTAGTCTTAATTTAAAACACAACATAGTTTATTATTTAAAGTAAAAGAAAGTAGTAAGAGTAATTAAGTGTAGTAATCTAATTAGTAAGTTCTACTAGGTAACTTATGCTATAGTAGAGGTTAGCAGTAGAGAGCGTAAGAGGACAGAGAATAGTTAAGCGCGCTAGTCCTAGTGTTTTATAGTAAGGGCTATAACCTTTCTAGATTAGGTAGTCTATAATATTAAGCGCGTATGTTGCAGCTAACGTCTATTCTTATATTTATAATTACACTTATTATTATAACTTTATGTGTAGTTTCTATTATAATTGCAGCTTTTTCTACTTTATTTATTTTTTTTAAGCTAATTTTATTTTTTCTTTATAGTTACATTTATATTTACCTTTATAACTACTGCCTTTTTTGCAAGTGTTGCTGCGCTTGTAACTTTATTTATAACTATAGACATAGCTATAGTTATAATATTTACTTTATTTACTCTTTTTAAGCTAATTTTATTCTCTCTTTACCTATTTAAAGTGCTCTGCAACTTATATTATCTTAATGTAAATTACACCTACTAATTAAGCTAGCACCTGCTATACACATAACAGCAACTACTTCTAACAGCTAGCGTTTTACAGCATATAAAGGCGGGCTGTTCTTTAACCTTCTGCTTTTTTTTACTCTTAGTATTACCTTTAGCACTAACTTTCTGCGCCTTACTTTTAGCATTAACTTACTTAATAGCTTTTTGCTTTTTACTTTTTACTTTTTACTACTTACTTTTTACTTTTTTATTTAATAGTAAGCTACTATATATAATTTATACATGTCTAAAACTAATAAAGTAAAGTAGATAAGGCATTAACTTGCTTTTTAACTTTACTTTTTACCTTTTTAAGCTGTCTATCTTAACTACTATCTACCTTACGCGCGCTAGCTATAACTATAGTCTACTATAAAAATGTCTATAAAGTCTGCAAAAAGTACTAGCTACTTATTAGTAAAGTAGACCTTACTAGTATACTATAAGCTTATAATACCTCTACTGCGCTAGCAATAGCTTGCCTAAGAGCTAATAAGAACATGCTTAACCTTAGCACTAGCACTAAAAAAGCTATTATTGCTGTAAAGCTTACAGTAGGCAACAGCGTCTATGTAGGCGTAGACGCAGTATAGGGCTTTCTTAACATTAACGTCTTTGCCTACCTTGCACGCAAAAAGCTCACGCGCGCTCTAGCTAGCTAGGACAACTAGAAAGTGTTCCTTCTTAAAGCTAGCGTTACATAGAGAGACCTCTTAAACCTTGTTATAGTATGTGTTAGCTACTTTATTAAGTTTAATATTATATTTACTGTCTACCTTTTTAACACTATTATACCTGCTTATTGTTAATAAGCCCTCTAGACCTAAAAGAAGATGCTAGCGCCTAGTAGCTACTTTATTTTTACTATATCCCTCTACTTTTTTTATAATCCTGCTACACAGTTTAAACCTAACGCTACTAAGGCCTCTAAATGTGTCTTTATTATTAAGTATAATTTAAAAGATCTGCTTTAGCTGCTTACTAAAAAAAGGCTAGTAGCTTAACTTAAAGTTATTATTATTACTTAGATCTTGCTAAACTCTATTTAAGCTAAAAAGTGTAAGTAAGTAGAAGACATAGCTACAATAGTTTAAATATATGTTAAGTAATATAGTAACATTAGTAAAAGTAACATGTTTAATTTAAAGCACACACTTTTGTCTCTACTGCCTAAGAAGTTACGCTAGATAAGCGCTTAACAGCTCTAGGCCTAGGGGGCTGCATATAAAATAAGTAAGCTCTAATGCTGCAGTCGCCTTTACTAGGCTATAGTGGAGGCTGAGGATCCTAACATCGCCCTCCTCTAGGGCTCTAGGCGGCTCTGTGCGCTTGTAGAGAGCCTACAGACTGCAGCAGCTAGTCTTGTAAGTTAGTTCCTTTAAAAGATGTTGCCTTTTATCTTATTCTATGCAAATTATGCCTAGGCTAGTGTCCTTGTTAAGCTGCAGCGCAGGTAAATAGACTAGTTTAAGGGTAGAAGTAGTTAGCTTAAGTTAAGTTTTTTATAGTAGTTTCTATGTACATAGACTTTTATAAAGCTATATAATAGCATTACATAGCTAAAATAAATAGATAAATTAGACTAACTTATAAGTACACTATACACCTTTAATATTATGTAACTAAGATAGCTATAACATGTCTATGTTAAACTAGTTAGTATCTCTAGGGTCTAAAGGCGCATAAAAGATATTATTAACTGCCTTAGTATATACAGCAGCGCAGATAAACTTAGCCTTATTAGGGTTAATTAACTTTAAGTTAATAATAATAGGACTTAGTAAAATACTTTAAGCTAGTTAAATAATATTCTAGTTAAATTTTATAACTTTCTTATTAAGCTTATTAAGACTTATTTAAATAATATTAAAACTTATTACTACTACATTATACTAAGCATTAAATAAGTAAGAATATATCCTTTTTTTTTTTAAAGTTAACTTACTAGTGTAAAAACTTCTTAGGTAATAAACTAATAAGTATAATTATTTTTTAACTTCTTACTAAAACTATGCTTTAGGCTAGCTTAAAGGTAGGTAGTATATCTACTAGTTAGTGCTAGGCAGTTAAATGTTAAGTTTACATTATGTGTTTTATTCTTTAGGTCCTGCATATCTAGCTTATACATATAGTTTACATGCTTAAGTGTAAGGTTAATAGCTTTAAACATATTTTCTTGCCTAGCAATATTTACTAGACTAGAGGCTAGAATAGCACACTAAAGTTCTAGGTTAGACACCTTATCTGTAAGAAGCTACTGTAGGTGTAGCATTTTAAAACTATAGCGCTATTAGTTGCTGCTATAAAACAAGATAATTAATAAATTAACTATTTAGTAAATTAAGCTAATATTACTAAACTTAATAGCGCGCTTAAGCATAAGAAATACTTTAATTTCTTAAAAGTATTAACAAAGTGTTGTAAGATTACTAGTAATAAAAGCACTGCCTTTTTAAGCCTAGTATGTAAAGATGCTTAGCTAGATACTATTAAAGACTTTTTTATACTACACTAGTGTAAGATAATAGATAGCATTATTAACTAGGCCTAGTAATTTCTTATAGGTAGATGTGTTAAGGTTACTAATTATTTTAGTAAAATAACCTTAATAAGCTATTTTAGTATAAAAAAAAAAGAATTTAAGTATTCTAACTTAACTAGATAAGCAAAGTAACTAAATAATACTTAATATTATTATAGTTAATACTAGTTTGCTTTTAGTAAGTAATATTATAAAGTATATTTAAGAAAGACTTAACACTATTAGAACTACTCTAATAAGTTTTAATAATTATATAAGTTAAAGCCTAGAGAATATAGAAATATGCAGAAAGGCTAACTATCTAGTTATAGTAATTATATAGACAGCAAGTAAGCTACTGCTTATAACAGACACTCTAGATATGCTCTACTATCTTCTAATTACTCTATATTAGCTAGAGATAATTAGAAAACATAGTAAAAGTATTAGATAAAAAGTTTTTACTTAGCTTAAACTACTTAATTTAGATGTTATTATAAACCTTATATGTCTCCTTAATAGTACCTTTATTATAAAAGATAGCACTAAGGTTTTAGACCTAACTAACTAGCTATAGTAGAAAAATGTTAACTAACAGCATACTTAGAAAAGCTGTAGCATGTAAATTAAACATTAACTATATAGCAGCTCTATGCACAAAACTTACTGCACTTAAAAGATAATAATATGTAATTTCCTTTAATATTAAATCTTATTTTATACTAGAGGCCTAGTATATAGATTTTACTTAAAGGGAAATAGTATAGTTAAGCATGCTCTGTTAAAGACTGCCCTCTAGTAGCTACAGGCACTTAATAGTAAGAGTAGTTATAAAATTATACATAATCTATGTTAGCACACCTAAAGCATAATTACAAGTTTAGTTTAAATAGTTAAAATTATTATAGACAATAACAAGCTAAGGGTTTTAAGCTATAGTTATTACTATTCTAGTAAACTTTTTAGCGCTAGAATTAGAGAAAGATGTTAGAAGATATACCTACTAAACTCTTAACTATTTTATAATATGTCTAATTTTTTTATTAATAATCTTGTAAGAGTTACATAAGCTAAGACTAGATATAACTTTAATAACACACCTTTTTATATTACTACTATAAAGATAATGTTTAAGCATCTTTAAAAAATAATTTAATTACTTTCTAGCACACTTTTACATAATAATAAAAGTAATTAAGTAGAGAGTAAAATTAGTTAACACTTTTTTTGCCTTATAACTAAACTAAGCACTCTAACAGTTTTGCATTAAATTTTAAAGTAATAAAAACTACTTTAGTGCAGTAACTATAATCTAGCTATTAAAATTACTAATATTAAAGCTACTTATCTTTACCTTAGTCTTAATATTATACTTTATAAAAAGGGAGTGCGCTACTAATAAGTTAAGTTTATGTAATAGCTTTTTAATATTAACTATATCTTTAAATGCATATTAATCTCTTAAAAGTATCTCTAAACTGTATAGTTGTTCTAAAGCTACATAAATATGCAATATGCAGGCAGCAGATAAATAGGTATATAAGACTAAATTAACATAAAAGGTGTGTAAAAAGTTGCTAATACTAAAATTAAGCTGTCTTAGAAGCTAGAGTACTTTTGTAAGTTTATCTACCTAAGATGTAGAGAGCTAGCAAGTAGTTAGTAAGTGCGTGTTAGACAAAGAATTAGAAGAGTTAGGCAGCAGAGGAGATAATAAGAGCATAAAAAGCAGTAAGGATAACTCTATAGTATACTGCAGATTAAAATGCTAGAAGGTAGAAAAGCCTTAAGATAATGTTATTAAAATAGAAGATATAATAAAGCTAGCAAAGTAAGTAAGTAGCAGGCGTTAAGTAAAAAGATAATAATAAATAATATGTTTCTACACATAAAAGCTAGAATTTTTCTATTAAAGTAGAATTAATTATAGGTATAGTACTAATAATAGTATAAAGAAAGTAAGAGAGTTATAGCTACCTAAAAAGAGCTAAAAATTATTAAGAAGTTAATTTTCTAGCTATAGTTAAAAGAATTAGAAGCGTTACGCTTACATAGGCGCACTAAAGTCTCTTAGACAGGAGGAGCTTTAAGAAAATTATAGCTTCTAATTAGTTTAGAAAAAACTTAGCAGACTATAAGAAAACAGCTTTACTTTAAGGAGTATAGTGTGGCGCTAATCAAAGCCTCGACCGTCTGAGCTCGCTGAGATAAAAAATCGGGGCATTTCTTGGCACTGCCATCCGGAATTTTTTCCCCCTACTAAAATTGTATGTAAGATCGAAATTTCAACAGGATCCACTATATATCAATAAAAACCTAATAAAACCGCCCTAGGTAAGTTAAAGCTTTTAGTTTGCATAGAGGAGCGCGTATACTAACCTTTTTAAGAGTAACAGCGTGTTAGGTCACGATGTATCGCGCCCATGGCATCTCCAGCGTATCAGGCTCAGGACAACGGACAGGAACCACAGAAACAGCTTCTTGCTGTGCTGGAGCATAAGGAGCAGATTTTTTAGTAGCTTTTACTACTTTCTTAGAGGGAGGCTTGCTCTTTGTAGGCGCTGGGATACAGTAAGCTTCTTCTACTTGCTCCTATCACTAGATTGACTGACAACGCGCTGGCTTCTGTTTATCACCACTAGCAGGCTCCTTAGGCTTCTCCAACAGGCCCTGCGCCCTCGCTCGCGTAGAATAGGCTGGTAGGTTGCTCTCTAGGGGGCTAGGGCTGCTCTAGCCCTCTAATTAGGCCCATTGTTGTCCTATTACTCTAAAAAAAGCGCTAAGAACAGTATCTCTATATAAACTTAAGGCTTTAACCTACTAACAATGTTCCTAGGAAGAATTTGTTAATATATCTAGAATTCTGTTAAAATTTAATTACCCCATACAATTTTAGTAGGGGAAAAAAAGATCTGAGGTACGCTAAGAAATGCCCCGATTTTTGCATACAATAGATCTGACGTCTCGCTTAGCGCATAGGCCAGCATCTAATATAAGTCTACTAATCGCCTCTCTCCCTCCTGACACGCCCGAGAGAGGGACTCTTGAGAAGCGTCTTCGAGCAGATTCACGTGGCAAGGCCATCACGATCCTGAACGTCGTTGTCGAGGTGAAGACCGGAGCTGCGGCGACTAAGGGGGTTGCAAGATAAGTACCGGTACCTAACCCTAAACCCCCCCCCTACCTCTCTCCCCCCCCTCTCTCCTAGAGAACTAGGGATAAGTACTAGAGGACAAGACAACTGCGCAGGACCTAGGGGAGTTGTGAATTAATAGAATTAGAGGTAAAAGACATATGTTAGGGGCAGCAATTAACCTAAACACATATTAAGACGCGTAAGGCAACTAAAGCTAAGAATATAAAAAGATAATAAAGAAACTTAAGTAATAAAAGTAAAATAAATAAAGTAATTAATATTAACTAAAAGGCTTTTAAAGCCCTATAATTAACCTGCACTTAAGGCTAACTAAGAATAAAACATAATAAAAAAACAAGTATACTTAAAAAAAGGGTAAAAGCAAAATAAAAAAAAACCTACTAGCTATAGTTCTTACAGCACTTAAAAAGACCTAAGATAGAATAGTAGCTATAATAAAGTAAATAAAAAAACATATAACCTAAATTAAAACTATAATAAAAGCACTTACCTAAAAGGTAGAGGCACTAAAAGTAGAGAATAAAGTAATAGTAGATAAATTTAAGACCCCTCTAGCTAGATCTTATACACTGCCTAGTAGATTACTATCTTACGCTGCTATAGCACAACTGCCTCTAAGCAGCTAGCCTAGTAGCCTACAGACCTTTTCTACTAACACAGCACTTTTAATAATAATAGATACACTTTACTGCATAATTAACACATTTAGAATTAAAAAGATAGATAAAAAGAAGGTAAAACTAAGCAAGATTAGATAAGCTATTAAAAAAAAATATAGACAAACTATAAGCGCATAGAATAGTAATATGTAGTAGTAGTTAGAGACCTAAGGAACACTAATTAAATTAGAGTTACATATAAAAATAAAAGTAAGCTTTAAGTAGTTAAAAAGGCAGCTTATAAAACAGTAGCTAAGAGAGTTAGAATACTGCGCAACTAGCTCTTCCTAATTAAAGTAGATAACATTAACTAGCTAGTAGTGCTATTAAAGGAAGAATAAATCTAACTAAAAGTGCTAAAGGCCCTTAGAGCTAAAAACAAAGTGTAAGCAGTAAAAGTTAGCTAGCTAAGTAAAAAAGATTTAAAAAAGGCATATAGATAAATAGTAGTATATATTACTAAAAGCAGTAATACAGCCTAGCTGCTATAAAAATAGTACTTTTACATTAATAGAGAATCTGCATACACAAGACTTTTTAAACTGCAAAATAGACTATTATAGTGCTACTAATGCTAATAGCTAAGGCATAAGGCATTTACATGCATAAGGCAGCAGGTTTGTGCTAGGTGCGCTAGCAAAGAACACTACAGTAAATGCTAAGTAATAGTTCTTAAATGTGTACTTTATAAAAGCCTTTATAAATCTTTCTTTAGAAACTGTTAAGTGCTATACTTTAGTTAAGATGCCTAGAACACTTAAGATATTCTAACTTAATATAAAAAAAAACACAAAGTACTGTATAGTATAACGTACTTTACAGGCAAGTTGCTTACACACCTAAGTTGCTTACTTTTGCTAAGACTCTACTAAACTACTTTTCTTACACTAATGCATTCTCTACAACACTACTTAAATGCGCTAAAAGAATGTTAGATATAGCTTATACTCTAAGCTTTTAAATAAAACATTAAACTTTTAAAGAAACATGCTACAGCTATATACAGAGTCTCTTAAAAGATAATAAATAACTATAGCGCTAGACAACTTTTATAAGCTAATTCTATAGCTAACTTATAAAGGCTAGGTAATAATAAGAAGCAGGTAATTGTTAAGACTATACTTAAGCTATATACGTAAGGATTTTCCTCTTAGATAGCATTTATAGCTAATATAGCTAATTCTTTATGCGCTAAGCATAATCTAGGCTATATTAGCATAAACTAGCTTAGTACGTTTAGAAAGCATTATCTAGAGCTTAAAGTAATGTTTAAGCGTAGTACAACTATAAAAGAGCCTTCTGTAAGAGTTCTAAGGTAATTTAGAGTAGGTTTAGCCTTGTAGAGAATATTAAAGCTAAGTATAGTATCTAGGATAATAACATGTACAACTTTAGTAAGATAAGCTTTATTATAGGCTAAATATCTATTAACTATACTTGCGCTTAAAACTTTACTTTAAACTTTAAATAACGCTTTACAAATATACTAGGCTAGTTTATGCTAACATAGCCTAGATTACGCTTAGCGTATAAAGAATTAGCTATATTAGCTATAAATGCTATCTAAGAGGAAAATCCTTACGCATATAGCTTAAGTATAGTCTTAATAATTACCTACTTCTTATTATTACCTAGCCTTTGTAAGTTAGCTGTAGAATTAGCTTATAAAGGTTGTCTAGCGCTATAGTTATTTATTGTCTTTT